ACTTCCTATGTCATTTTGATAACAATAACTTGTCCAGCAAGCCTAAGGACTAATTCAGCCTAATAAAAAGGCTAACATACTATGCAATGCATCAAATCTTTGCTATAGTTCTGACATCTCAGAAAACAAACACTCTAATTTTTATTTTTACAAAGAAAAACCTGCATAGGCTCTTCCTCTCAAATGTCAGCCTAATAAAACCGAAACAATTGTATTCATACTTACCAGCAATTTTCCTTTCCTGTCTAGCTCCATGGCAGCACACTAATGGGTTAATCCCCTCTCTCCTCCCACTTATCAGGATCGTAACATTAAATTTTTCCCAGCTGTCCCAGCCCGCTGTGCCGTAACTATCCGACTGCACGGGTGGGAATTGTGCTGCCATGGAGCTAGACAGGAAAGGAAAATTGCTGGTAAGTATGAATACAATTTTCCGGTTTTCCTGTCAGCTCCATGTCAGCACACTAATGGGAAATTACTTGTGCAACATACGGGGGGCCGGGGGATGGCAATCAATATTAAATTAGAGCTTGTCGCAACAGAAATCACAGCACGGCCAAATTCTACCGTGGTCAGTGCTGCCAGATCTATACAATAATGGGACATGAAAGTATGAACTGACGACCACGTGGCAGCCTTACAAATCGCCTTCAAAGATACTCGACTTGCCGCTGGCCAAGACGTTGACATACTTTTCTTTGTAGGCTAAGGTTATAGCTCTGACGACCCGGGAGGCGATGAGTCTACACAAGGCCTTTGAGCCCTTCTTAACACCAGAAGGAACGACAAAAAGGTGATTGGTGGCCCGTATATCGTCCGCAGATGCAATATACGCCTTTAGCGCACTTGCCACATCCAAGTGATGTACTTGTTCACCCTCCGCAGACTGGAAGGTAGGTAAGACTATTTCATGTCTCATGTGGAAATTCGACACGACTTTTGGGACAAACCTGACAGGGGCATAACTAGAAATCACAGGGCCCTTATAGCAAAATTTTGTATGGGGCCCTGTGATTTCTAGTTACACCCCTTGAAGAGCCCACATAGCTCACCTGAGGGTGACCCTGCAGAGCCCACCATAGACTCTCTATGGTGGGCTC